CTGAGGGCTGGATGGCCTATTTGAGAAACATCCATGGGCTGCATTAGCAATATTTTTCTGTTTCCTTTCCAGAAACAAAACACTTTACAGCACCTTTTTCATGTCAGTAAGATGTCTCAAAGCGCTCAACACTGGGCACCTGAGCTGGGGTTGGGAGCAGAGGGAGGTAGAACGGGGAGGGGAAAAGATGACTGAAAGCATGGTCAAAGAGTTAAGTCTTGATGTGCTTTGAAAGAGGGGAGGGAGAATCGGAGAAAATGGAGCTCCAGAGAGCGGGGGCAAAATGGCGAGGGTGGGGCAGATGATGTGGGGGCCATCAGGCAAGCCAGTGTTTGCCAGGCAAAGGGAATGCTTTTGTCAGGAGGTCACAGATAGGGGCGGGGGGGGGGGGAATGAAAGACAATAGGAGTTTCTCACTGGGGAAATAGAGCGTTTTCTGTGAGAAAACTGCACGGCACATCGTTCGGTGTCTGACCTTGGTTCCCCCCACCCCGTGGTGATCAAGGGAGGCTTTGATCATCTGTCCCGTCAGTGAACCACAAAATGCTGCCCTCACTTCTCTCTCTCTAAATCAGTCTTTCTCTCCCCTCTCTCTTTTCCCTCCCTCTCTCACGCAGTCTCTCACTCTTACATACAATCTCTCTCTCCCCCCCACACTCTCTTTCCCCTTTTACAATCTCTCCTCACTCTCTCAATCACTTTCTCCCCCTTGTCACTTGACACACACTCTCTCCCTTTCTCTCTCATTTACTCTCTCTCACTCCCCCTCTCTCCCACACTCTCCCAGTCACTCTCTCTGTTCTCACACTGTCTGTCTCTCTCTGTTTCTTTCGCCCCCTCTCTGCAAACCACTCGACCCAGTGGATTATTTCATCCGGCCCGAGATCCTTTCCAACTTCGGGCTGCCTGCCTGCTCCCTCCCTCCCTCCCTGGTGAACAGTCCTCTCATGGCAGCCGCAGGAGCCAGCGGTTGGGAAGACGTGGTTGGGAGGAAAGCTGCTTGCCTTCCCCTCAGCTCGGGAATACTGACAAACTGCAGTAACAACCGCCATTATTTCCATTCCCTGTGCTGCGCTCTCCCAAACGTCGGCTCCTGAGGTTGCCATTAGAGGACGGTTCCCGGGGAGGGAGGGAGCCGGTAGCCCGAAGTTGGAAATGGTCTCAGGCCGGATCAACCATCTGACTTTTGTTCTAATTGGTTTTGTGTACTAAAGATAGTATCAATATTCAGCAAATATACCGGCCTGCTTCCTGTTTCCTGCCCCACCATTGATAGACAAGCCATTCTGTCTCCGCTCTCTGGAACTCCCTGCTGGAGTCCCTCTGTTTCCCTCACCACCTTGAAAGCTTGCCTTAACGCCTTGCTTTTCAACCACATTTGTGGTCATCTTTCTCAGCACCTTACCCAGTTTCCAGTCAGCTCCCTGAAGCTCTTTCAGATGTCCTCCAAACATGAAAGGCACTATATACTGTAAATGTAATCTGTTGTTGCTGTAAATTCCTAAGAAGTTAAAGGGATAGAAACCTCCAACAATACAGCACACACAATTGTATGAGTAAAGGCACCTGCATTGATTATCTGATGCAGCTACTGAGACACTTCAACCCTCTGATTAAAAACAGGGTGGAAAGTTGTAAAGAAAAGTACAAAGTAATAAAAGGATTACAGGGAAAGCAGGAATTGGGATAAGGAGACAAAGTTTCATTGGAGGAGCAAATGCGCCTGGATCAAGCTTAACAGTGGCAGGGAGAGCGTGGAAGTAACCGAGGAAGGTCTTCAGGTGTGATCTGAAAACAGGCAAGAGGAAGCAAGGAGAGTACAAGGCAGTGATTGAAGCATTGAGTTCCAGAGTCTCGGGGCGTAGTGGCTGAAATCATGGCTGTCAATGTTGGAATGGAGGGATGATTGGCTTGCAGGAGGCTGGAGTCAACTGACTGAAGGGGTAGATAGAGGAGTGGGGTGTACGCATGTCAGAGAAATAGAGAGGAGCCAGGGCATGAAGTAATTTGTATGTGAGTATGAACATTTTGGGACCCAGTGGAGTTTTTAATTCATTGGATTTTATAAATGATGGAGCTGGGGAGATTGGCAAGGAGGGTATAGGAAAAATCGATGTTGGAGGTGACGAATGCATGGATAACAACAAAATTATATTTATAGAGCACCTTTCATGCCGGGAGGACGTCCAAGGATTTCTGCTGTGTTGGGTATGAGGTATGATCAGAGGCGGGAGATGTAGTGGAGGTGGAGGAAAGTGATCCTGGTCAGGGACCAGATATGGGGTAGGGGATAGAACATGATACCTCGGTTGTGTACGGGTTCAGTAAGTTTGAGGGATAGGCTGGTGAGTCAGAGCTGCTGGTGAGGGATAGGTAAGGAGGTCAGAGCTGCTGGTGAAAATACGTTGATGGGAGCCAAGGTGTATAGTTTCCGTCTGTCGACATTCAGTTACAGAAAATTGGGGCGCATCCAGGTCGCATTCAGCCACTGCGCCCCGAAACTCTGGAACACTCTCCCTCAATCCCTCCGCCTTGTCCCCCTCTCCCCTTTTTCAAGCCTTGCCTGAAAACCTTCCTCTTCAAGTATGCTTCCCCCCAGCTCGGACTCATGCTCCACCCTTGTTAAGAGCTCTGAGACGCTACCCTGCGTGGAGGGTGCTATATGAATGCAAGTTGTTGTTGTTGATGTCTGACAAGCAAGTGGACAGAACATTGGTGGATTTGGGTTCAAGCCTAGAGGAGCAGTTACAACAGGGTTCTACTGTAATTAGATGCACACACATGAATACTAAAAGTACTTGAAATAAAATAGTAGGATTCAAGTTTTGGTGGTTATAATTAGGAGGTGGTAGGAATCGCACAGACATGGCTAAATTAGAATGATGGAATAGCATGGTAGCATTTAATAAAATACCTAAAAAAGTACCTGCTTTGAACAGATTGGTTTGAGGTACTTTATAGCCTCATGTCTTTACCTATCATTAGGATTAAAGTGCTAATTATAGCTGATATCACATTATCATTTGTCAATATCAGTACAAAATATGTACAATGCTTACTAATCCAAAAAGTCAATCTTACTTTGTTTTCCGTGAACTATTTCAAAATTGCCTCTATACATATGAAATATAATAGGTGCTGGGTATAGGAACTAAAATGTATTACTGTACATTTAAATTGAACTATTATGAAGGTTTGAGGCTGAAGATGAAATCTCACCATAAACATTTAGGAAGTTGTGATTAACATTAATAATGAGATATTGTTTTTGTACATTTTATAAATGCATTTAAGCCATAGGTGGTGATCATAATATTGGATTAGGTTAAATCTCATTAATAAAGCCAAGAATGCGAGTAAGGAAGCTGCATTAGCATATGCGGCAACACAGCTATTAATCTAAGGTTTCTTCAGAATCAACTGTATGAGTAAAGTCAGTCATACCAAGCCAATTGAGATAACATCACTGGTGATTATACTGCATGCCTCACTTTCCTCCCTTGTGATAATGCAGCACACTCCTTTCACTGCATTGGGGTGTCAACTGGACTACATGAGTTCAAAGTCCTGGAGAGGGCCTTCAACCTACAACTTTCTGATTTAAGAGTCGAGAGTCTACCAACTGAGCCAGACTGACACACCCATATATTCTGTACATATGCTGATATGTCTTGCTAGGCAACCCAAAAAGTTACAAGATAGGATTTAAGATAATGTTGAAAGCCCTAATGATTTTAAAAAGAGTAAAATGTAATGAGTTCAATACAATTGGAAAATCACTACAGTAAATGGTATCTCGGACTGTGCTGGAAATAGAACTAGTAGAAAAAAAAGTAAGATAAAGGCACAAAGTAAAATAGGATAAAAAGGCTATAATGGGAGGGGAAGGGTACAGAGAAAGCGAGACGTACTTTTGAGACAAGAGAATAAACAGTCTAGTGAGGCACATGGCCATATCACATCAAAGAACGCATATGGAATTGGTGAAAGGTTACTGGGCCATTCAGTCCCTCATTCCCATGGATGGAAATCTCATCTTACTGTTTAGTTAGTGGTTGGAAGATGACAAAACTGTCTTTCTATGAGTGCAGATTGCCCTCTTGCTAAAAATATAAACAAGATATTCAAAGATGAATGATACTAATAAGCTTAACTGAAAGCATTATTCTCCCTCTTGATTTGGCCAAACATTTCCCAAATTATCTTGATATTGATATTGATTATTGTATGATAATCAATATTTACTTTTCCTCAAATAACAGAGTACTTAATTAGCATATTCAATCAGTTTCTGTAGATATGTTTACAACTGTTTTTTTCCGAGTTTATCTTTCATGCCTCTGGCCCAGTAACCTTTCAGGGCCTTGGGACGTCCTACTGACGTGAAAGGCGCTCTATAAATGCAATCTTGTTGTTGTTGTTGCTCTGCTAAATAAGTGTATACATACTGAATTTTCCGACACACCCATTAAGAAATCAATTTACTAATTGTATTAAAATTCTCTTTCAGTACCACAAACTAAAGATAATGACACAGCTGACCAGGAAATGACTGAGGTTCATATGGTTTTACTACACTGGACCAAATTACATTAGTTTGGTTTGAATCTGACTGCCAACTAGGACTAAAAATATCCAATGCTATCAGAACAAAACTACAGAAATGTCTAAGAAACTCCTTTTGAGATGCTAAGGAAGGAGGGTGTAAATAATTTAAATAGTGAGAAAAATATTTGATGAAACTCAATCCATGAATAATAAAAGTTAATAATCTTTCAGCCCCGCTGAAAGAACCATGTTATGACCACATCACCATAGCAACAGGGAACAGTGAATTATTGGTCCCAACTGCCCACTAGATCACGCACAACCCTCAGAAACTTAACATTTACTTCTCTGCACTGCTGTATCTTAGTTTATACAAAACATATAAATACAATGCAGACTTAGAAGACCTCAAACTGCCAATATCAGATTAAATGTTTCATTGTTATGCTTACCGGCTTCATCTCTGATGTGAGCAAGTTCTATGGAGAGCTCTTTCTCTTTGATAAGGGCACTTTCATTCTGCAAAGAAGAATAAGAGGCACTATAATGCAAAAAATAATTAAGTTGAAATAGCTGTTCAGAAACATAGACATAAATAAGCAACAGACCATTTGTACAATAAATGGTGACCCAGATGGATTAACAAATATCACTCATACTTTGTCTTATGTCAGCCTGTTCCACGTAGTGCCTGGTACTGAGAATTACTAATGGCTGTTAAACTAATCCCCATAAAATGCACTAATGAAGTCTAGCATCATATTTTTAACTTTGTAAAACAACTGGTCACAATTTGTTTTAACATTTGCTAAAATTTGGATTTTATTAAAAAAANCTACTTTCTGTATCAACTTTGAAAATAATGATAATAATCATAATCCTTGCATTTGATATAATGCCTTATCATGTCGTCGAAACATTGCATAGCACTTCACAAGATATACTGTAAAATGGATTGACTATTTTGTGGGCGAAACGCAGCAGCCAGTTTGCACAGCAATGTCCCACAAACAATCATGGAGTGACTGACCAATTTTATTTGGGGAATTGTTAGCCAGGACAACAGAAGAAATTCCCTTCTTTCGAATAGTACCTTGGGATCTTTAACGTCCACCTAAACAGGTAGACAGGACTTCAGTTTAACATCTCATCCAAAGAATGAGTAACAAATCGAAGTCTTTCTGAAGCATTATTATAAAAATATAACTTTTTTTCTTGTATGCTTCCTGATCCACCTGTCCTAAAGACAAAGTTAATAAGTTGAATCTATTTTCAATAATGTCCTTAGAAGGTTTTATTTGAATATATTTTCCACAAAAATGCTATCTCTTTCACCGCAGTAATTAAAAAACAAAAATGTAATTGTTTTCGTATTGCCTATCAAACTGAAACAATAACAACAACAAATTATGTTTGTAAAGCGCCTTTCGCAATGGGATATGTATCACTGGAATTATCTCCATGCTATGAAACACAACCAAGCACTTTATGGAGTTTCGCAAAACAAAATATATGTTTACAAAAACTTATAAATCAGTTTGAAATCCAACCATAACAAGCTTTTATCAATCTGAGCATGAAACAATAATAATGAGCAAGTAATAAGAAACAACTGTAGGCAATTTTCTCCTAATTACTTTAAAAAACCCAATAGTACAGTATTGTTAAAAGAAAGGTAAAACACTGAAGAAAAGAAAACGTGATTGTAGCTGGTTTTCCTGCTAATCTCTATCCCAACAGAAACACAAAAGTTAACACTGCAGAAGTGGAGTGGTGGATTGGACTGGAGTCATGTGTACATCACATCCTCTGTTATCAACAGCCACACTGTAATACAGTTCATTTAAAAGATTTGTTACAGCTAAAATATGTTTTCTTCCCTCAGAGAACAGTTTAACAATTAACAAACCAGCACCCAAATGACTCAAGCACAAGCAGCAGCATAGCAGAATCGTCACTCTCTGTGACTGGAACAAAATGAAGCATTGGAAGTTCAATTACCCTCTTGTCCAGGCAACCAAGGCAGTAATACTGCTTACAACAGCAGTGGCCCATTCCAGCAGACTTGATGATATAGAAGCCCGCTTCATCCAGTCAGCCGGCTCGCAAGTCCCTTGCTGCAATGATGTTTCAGTAAATGCAGCAGACTGGGAACAGGCACCCCTACCTGCATGTGGCACTGACACTACCTTATTTCTCCTAATACTTCCAGAAACAGAGAAAGGAGATGGCGAATACAGAGAGATCGTCAGCATCCTGCTGGAGGGAGGGCTGCTCTGCCAGTGCGGTATCACAGTGAGGCTGATCAATAGTCACATAATAATATGAATCTGATTCCATCATTCTTAAAGCTGTCGACCAAACTTCACCCTTGGGAATTGTCAATTAACACACGGAGAAAAGAGAAGTCTCCACTGAAAAAACTGCATAATAATTGCACGAAGAATGCAATTCCCTGCAATCAATCCTTGTATCTGCATAAACCTACGTCCCTGTGATAACAGCCGTCTGGAGCCGATGTCTGGTTATTCATTTAAATAGGTCCCTTTAATAGGTCACTCTTTGTTATGCAGCTATTAGCTTTTTATGCTAGAGCAATTCCAACCCAGAAATGTGCTCCACATACGTTTGTTTAAATTATAACATAAGAATGAAAGTGGTCAGAATGAAAATGAGTGAGGGTGAAGCTGGCGAAGGGTGCGTGACATGTTCAACGTCCAAACATGGCAAAGTAAGAAGAACTCAATAAGCATGGCGGGGGCAAAAGGGTAGCCAAAGGAAAGTGACCTAGCACTCACTCCATAACCCAATCCCTTTAGGTTGTTGATTTATTGCAGAAGGTAGCAGCGGGTGATATTAATCAAATAGTATAACAGGAATTGTGAAGTGCTGTATTTGAAAGCACTTCAGTTTTATACAAATCAAAAAAGAATTAGCAAAAGTTTTGTTATCCAGAATTATATTTCCCTGGTTACAACAATTTGCATTTATTTAGTACTTTTCACGTGCAAGTACTTTTCAAATCTCTTGATAAATGTGATTGGGAAATAAGAGATTTAAAGATTTGGACCAAAGGCATGACTAAAGGGATAAGGGATAGAATACATTAACCCTCACCTTACTGGAATTCAAAAATATTGAATTGTGAAGTTAAAGATAATTCCTATTTTTCCTTTCATTTCTTTTTCTCTTTCAGTAAACTCTGGATAACTCATCACAGGAAAAAGGGCTCAGCGACGAGTTATCCAGTGGCCAGTTAGACATAGGCCCTCACAGGTGTCAAGGGGTGCGTGCTGTGACTGGTGTTTGCGCTTGGCAGAGGTTGGCCGCGCATACTCAGCGGCATCTCAGAGGCCATTGGTCTATCAGTGCCATGCTGTAGCCTCCCGCGCTATCCTGTGACAGGTAGGGAGGAAGTACGGCGGGAGACCATGGCGCAGCCCTCCAATAGACCAGAGGTCACTGCGATGCATCTGAGCTTGCGTGCCCAACTTCCGCCAAGTGCTTGCACCATTCACACGATAGGGCAAGAGTAGGGGTGGCAATCCCAGAATTTCAGGAGCACCATTGCCATATGGGATGCCGGGATTGGAACCCGTATGGTAATGGTACTCCCGAAATCCCGGGAGTGCAACCCCTAGGCAGGAGGCTTCTGCAATGCAAGATGTCTTCTTTTAGGATGAGTTATCCAATCAATTTTACATTGTAAGTACTTACAAGAATTTCTAGAATACGACGAATTACATGTTAAGTGGAGTGACAAGTACAGCAGAGTCCCTTATTTAACATTTTGCATGGGAAGAGGCTAGGATATTGACAGCATTGCAACTTAAATGGTAGTGACTGGTTAAGTAAGGGTTGAGTTATCCAGAGTTCACTGTAAATTTTTCTCCTTACCTTCTTAAGACTCTTCAAGTGCAAGTCTGGATAGTGAATCTCAGCAGGGTTTACTGTACAAAAATGCAAGTAACTACAACAACAACTTGCATTTATATAGTGCCCTTTACGCGGGGTAGCGTCCCGGAGCCTCTAATCATGCCGAGAGAGGTGGGGGAGGGAAAAGAAGATGAGTACTTTTTTTGTCCGCACCAGCAATCAGACACCTAAAAATCCAGCAGTGTTCATTGGATAACCAGATGGGATCTTTAAAATGCGCCTAATATTCCCAACCTCCGGCAACCACCCACAGGCAGACAGGAACCGTGGTTTAACAACTGATTTAAAGGACTTTCAGCGACAACAATAAATTACATTTGTATAGCCGTTTCATGTTGGGAGGACATCCCAAAATGCCGGATTGCAGCATTCCAGTAGAACTGTACTGGAATGTTAGCCTAACTGCAAGCTCAAATTTTAATTGTGGCCTGAATCCACAACTTTCTAGCCAAGTGTGCTACCAATTTAGCCAAGCTGAACCTAACCATAAAGAGAATAATCAAAGGTTCTGCATCTATAGCAAAAGGGGATGGTGTGGAAGCAAAGACTGGAAATATAATATTAATAACCCTTGCATTTGAAATAGCGCCTTATCACATCATCAGGACGTCTCAAAACAGTTCACGGGATATACTATAAAGTGGATTGAACTTGTATTTTGTGGGCAGACAGTTATGGACATCAATGTCCCACAAACAACCCTGAAATCAGTGACCAATGGAGTGAGTGTCCAATTTTATTTGAGGGATTGTTGGCCTGGACATTGGGAGAAACTCCCTTCTCTTTACAAATAGTGTCATGGGATCCTTAACGTCCACCTAAACAGGCAGACGGGATCTTGTTTCATGTCTCATCCAAAGGAAGGTGCTTCCAAAATGCAGCACCCACCCATTGGAGCATTGTCTTATATTATGCGATTCCAAGCCTAACGTCCTGACCCAACTGTCCAGCGCCTTGGGACGTCCTCCCTACGTGAAAGGTGCTCTATAAATGAAATCTTGTTGTTGTTGTAACGTGGGGCATGAGTCCACAACCTTCTCACTCAGAGCCGAGAATGCTACTGCTGAGCCAAACTGGCACACATGCAAATATATTCCACAGTCGAAAAGTTTGTTCTTTCAGAGAAGAAAATAATTGGTACAGAAAATGAAAAGGCCCTGAGGGTCCTGACTAACAATAAATTGAAGGTATCGCAAAAATGCTCGATAGCAGTGAGTGAGGAAAACCAGATGCTGGGTTGTATTAAAAGGACAATATTGAACCCAAATAGTGGGGTAATCCTGCCACTTTATAAATCACTGGTGCGACCGCACATGAAATACTGTGTGCAGTTCTGGTCACTGCAATTTAAAAAGAATATTGCAGCTATTGAGAAGGTACAGAGGAAGCAACCAAAATGATTGAGGGGATGGAGGGACTGGACTACGAGGAACGATAAGATAAACTGGGTATGTTCACACTGGAGAAGAGAAGGTTGAGGGACGATATGATTAGGGTCTGAAGGGATCCTGAACGGAATAGATAATGTAGACCATGACAAGCAGCTTTATCTTGTACTGAACAGTAGAACCAGAGGACACGGC